GGAATACTCTGGTTGCTCCTTCAAAGACAAATTTGTTAGTTCTCTTGGCAGTTCATGGGATATTCAATAATCTTCACCATCAACACAATCCAAAGGCATTGATTCTTTTATATCATTCATTGTTCTAATTTCAAATGCAGAGGAAGAAGCTGAAAAGATCAATGCTTGGACCAGGTGTATCTTAAGTCTTTAAACGGACATGCTTGTCCTTGATAGTAGATTTTCCCAATGCAACATCTTTTGATTTCTTGACTGTTACTACCATGATAATGATGATGATGAGGAGGAGGAGGATGGCATAAGATAGGACAAGGTTCAAACCTGTTGTCCATGAGTCGTACTCAACTCCATGACAGCTAACAACAAGCTACCATGGATGTTGATTGTGAATCCGAGTAAAAAGAAATCACTGACAACTTCAATCTTTTCTCTATCATGATGTTGGCTATAGGTCCAGATGTGAGGATTTTTCTTTTCTTGATGTTGAGATGTACCATCTGTCAGTTTGCTGTACTGTGGTGGTGGCTTGCACGTTGCTGTGATACTGGAAGCTATGCCGTTTGTACTTTAAAAACCAGCAAGGTCATCCATGGGGCAGAGGTTTCAGCAGTGCATCCAGACTAAGACAGACTGAGAAGTAGGACTCACCATCTACTCAGGGAACAGCAAGCCTTCGAAAACTCTCTAGATGACATGTGCCAACTTGGGCAGCACACATACTAAAATTGGAAAAATTATAGACAATAAATGCCCATGCATGATACTAAAGCTGCTCAATAAAGTATCTAGAAGTAGCTAGATTTGAACATCTAGAATATCTTCCAAAAGAGTTTTTGAAATGAACGCACACTGACAGCAGGGATTGTGAAAATGGTGCAGAGTTTCTTGCAGTTTTACAAACAGTTGTTATAAGCTGGATGGTTCCTAATGATAAAATGAATAATGGGGTGCATTGCAAGAACATGGAAATAGCCCAAATGTCCATCACAATCAAATGGATTGAGAAATTATGATACATTCACACGATGGTATACTACACAGTATGCAGGAGCAGTGATTTTGTAAATCACTAAATTGGGAGGGACTGGAGAGCATTATGCTAAGTGAACTAACTCAGTCCCATATGGACAAATACTGTATAAGGCTATTATTTTAGAACGAGTATAAACTTTGATAAATGTCAGTAATTGTAGAGGGGCTTTAGGCCTTTTATTCATAGGGTTGCTATGAGTCGTGCTTGACTTGAAGGCAATCAACAACAAGATGAGGATCCAAGTGATTAAAGGTGGGAGCAGAGGGGTGAGGATGGGAGGGAGTGGTGTGGTTAATCATAGGGTCACACAATTTGATGGGTCGAGGGAGGAGTGGGTAAAGGAAATGGAAAAGGTCCAGTGTGAAAAACAATGTTATGTGAGCTTTGTAAGTAAACCAGTATATAATAAAATTTTACTTCATTTTTCTTTAAAAAAGAATGGGTGGTCCAGTTATTTCATAGTGAAGGCAAATTTACACAACATTAAAGGGCAATTCTGCTGACATTTCTACACTTGTTCTTGTTCCTAACCCAGGGACTTACTATAGCAAGGAATTCCTCTACTGTTCTCTGGAGAGTTTATGAAATCCTCCCCCAACCGAAACCAAACTCACTGCCCTGGGTCAATTCTGACTCATCTCTTTGTTTCTCATTGCTGTGGAGGAGGAACCGATTCACAGCTGACCCTCCAGCAGAGGCTGTAAATCACAGGAAAGGAGATTGCCCATATTTCTCCCTTGGAGCTGTTGGTGAATTTGAATCACTAGACAAGTGACACCTTTGGTTTAGCAGTGAAACTCCCTACAGCCTAGGCCACCAGAGCTTCCTTACGTGAGCCTGTAGAGTTCAGAACTGCCCCATGACGATCTCCAGGGCTACAATATTTGTGGAAGCAGAAAGCTGTATCTTCATCTTGCAGAGTGGGTTCAAATGCCACTATTCCAGCACTTTAACCACAGCACCACCAAGACTCATTGGATAGTTCATCCAGGAGTAATACAAAAAAACCTGGAGAGATGCTTTGGTTTTTGGAGTCAGATAACCTAGCTTTAAATCCCAACTCCACCACTTACATGACCTTGGCTTCATTTCTCTGAGCTTCACGCTCTTTTATAAAATGAGGCTGTGGTTAGCAGCTCTGGTGGCATAAGATGTAACATGCTGTGGTGACTGGAATCCACCAGAGGCTCCACGGTACTTTCTTCCCATTGAGTTTTATAGCCTTGGAAACCTTTGATGGCCTGATTGTGGCTGAGTTTGTATTGGTGGTAAATTAAGTGAGATAATGTATATAGAGCGTGTACAGACTAAATGAGATAATGGGTATAGTACTGATAATGGTACCATGTCTGTCACACTGTGAGTATTCACTAAATGGTAGCTATTAACACTGAATAGTTGCCCTCATAATACAGAATTCATACTGTTATGCAAACTATTCTGTTTGTGGGAAGATAAATTAACCACTTACAGCTGAAAAGAAATGCAATTAATGATTGCAACAGAGATTGCCTTGGAAGAAAAGAGGGAAATTAAGTTGCTTTAATTATTTTTAAAAGCTTTTTATGTTTTCTAGATTTTATCCTTAGGTAGGTTGATATACTTATGAGTTTGGAGAGAGTAAGCTCTCTATAAACAATAGTTAATCATTTTATTTTAACACCACAGAAAGTCACAGCAAACAGGAAGAATAAATATGACAAAGATATCTCCTTATACACTATCTTTCTTTTTAAAAATAGGCTCAGTTGTTGAGACTGTGAAATGCTCTAACCACTATGGCATACAGTATATTGTTGTTACGCATAAGAGAAAAAAAGTCGAGTCAACTGCAATTCATATAAACTCCATGAACAAGCTATTTGAACCTGTCCAATCCTGTGTCATCCTTACTAACTCCAACATATTTGAGTCCATTGTTACAACCACCTTGCCAATCCATCTTGTTGAGGGTCTTCCTCTCTTACACTGACCCTTCGCCTTTCCAAGTATAATGTCCAAGGACTGGCCTCTCCTAATAACATGCCCACTAGATTACAGTTTTGTTTTAGTTCTTAAGGCCTACATTTACCCACAGGCCTATATCCAACGGAGGACCTTTTGCTCATAAATAATCAACCAAGTGCCTACTTTGAGTTATTCTCCTTCTTGAATATTTAACCTACACAAACTCACTTTAGTGTCATTATACTTTCTCTCAATAGTGTTTGAAACACTATCATCAATTCAATGTGGAATAATTCCGAGGTTTCTAGTTAGGAAAATTCACTCTCTTTATAAGGGAGCTCAGGTGCTGTTCCCCTTGAGTCGCAGGCGACTCTATGGTACATAACAACAACAACAACTGGTGCTGGTTGCCTAATGGGTATGGAGTTGCTCTGACAGTGCGAAGGCAGTGTTACGAGTGCACCAGCTTCCCCGAAGGAGAAAGGTGGGCAATATCTCCACCCCTCTGAAAACTCGATAAAGAGTCAGATATGAACTGGTTCCAATTTAATGACAATGAATGAGTGAAAGGTTCTTTTTATGTATTTAGCCACCCACAGTCCAGAATTTGGAAGGTCATGGCCATATTAACCAACCTTCCACTAGGGGGCACACGAAACATAAGTACCACAGCGTTAAAGTGCCTTTCACGTTTAAAAAGGACTAGCAACAGCTCTAGGAAAATCAATTCCTTCCCGAATTAGACCCATCTGGTACATACTTAATTATAATTTGTGTTCTGTAATTATTGGCTTGCAAGGTAGCGGAGAGAAACAAGCATCTCATTTTCAGAACATCCCTCTTCTCACCTCTTGAAATAAAACTGGCAAAATGAAAACAGAATTCTGGGAAATATTTAATAATTTAAACTTTCACGATTGGGGGGGGGGGAAGAAACAAAGGTTTGGAGTCCTTCAAGGGAGGAAGTGGGGCGGCAAAAAGGACAGGAAAGAGAAAAAAAGTCAAGCGAGTCTCTTCCATCCAGATGGTGTCTGCTTAATAGAATCCAAGCAGAAGCGCAAATGGTTAACATATTGTGCAGAGGAAACAGCACATGGTCACGTAGGGGGAAGGGAGGCCACACGAATGTTCGCTGGTAAAGCCACCTCGGCGTGTAAGCCTCAGTTCAGTCTTCTAGAGGTCAAAAGGACTCTTTGGCGCTGTTGCTTACTCAACAGCTGTTCAGGTAAGATCGCGCGCGTCCCTCCCCGCCCCAAACCTTGTGAACAATGATGAAAATGATTGTTGGAGGGATGCACTAATGGGTGTATATCTTATTATGTACAATCTGGATTTAACTGTACCTATAACGTGGAGCCACATGTGCATAAACAGACTTTCCAGCCCGGTGCCATTTGTGAAATTCTGGTGTGGGTCACATTTACATCACGCGCAAAGCCTGCACAAAAGCGCACGCACGGTGCCTATTTGTCCTGGGGGGCCCTGGCTGCACCTAGGGAGGCGCGCACCCATCTGTCGTGCGCGGCAGTGGCGGCTGGAACACGCCGAGACGATGACAGGATGTGGAGCCGGTGGCGAACGGCATCTTCTTTTCTTCTCATTTCAGTGATGTCATTGGGCGACAGCAGCTGAGAGCTGGGAGGAGGAGGAGGTGGAGGAGGAGGAGGCGGCGCCGGGCCGCCGCCGCCGCAGCCGCTGCAGGTTCATGTGCATATAATGAAAAGGCACTTGACAGTCTGCCAAAACGCTAGCGAGGGAGAAGGAGCGAAACTGGACCTACTGGATTTCGCAAAGCCAATCGTCATCATCTGCATCTACATGGGGAAGGAGGAGGAGGAGGAGGAGGAGGTGGGATCAGCGGCTCCAGCCTTGGCTGCTCCAATGTGAAACCACGAGCGAAAAAAGGGGGATCAGAAAAAGCAACGGAAAGCGAGCGAGGGAGGAGGGAGCGGCTTCTCGGTGTGCATTATCCCCCCCTCCATTCCCCCTGCGGATTTCTCCACCTACTCCACCGGCAGCTATGAATTCCGCGGAACAGACCGTTACGTGGCTCATTACCTTAGGGGTGCTGGAGTCGCCCAAAAAAACCATTTCGGACCCGGAGGGCTTTTTGCAGTCCTCTCTGAAAGATGGGGTGGTCCTCTGCAGGCTGCTGGACCGCTTGCTGCCCGGAACCATAGAGAAAGTAAGTGCTATTTCAGCTCGCGCGCTGTTCCCCAGCCCGGCCGCAGGCGCGGACCCCCAGTCACTGCGCGCACCCCACCCGGAGGCTCGGCCGCCGCGCGCTGCCGCCGGTCCTCCAGCCCGCTGCCTGCGGGGTCGGTGCACAAAGCTCCCAACCAGTGATCCCAGCCGGGATGGGCAGAGTAGTGCCCAGACGTGGGGGCCGCCTCGCGCCTTGGCACCTGGATGACCCGCGCGGCGGTACCCGCCTTCTTCCCCTGCCTAGCAGAAAATGTAGTGCTCAGAGAGGAAACCTACGCACTTTCCTTTGTGCGCGGACCCCCCTGGAATCCTGGTTCGCGCCGGGAGAGAGCGTGCGCTTTTCCGCGGTGCACAGCTCTCGGCGCCAGACAGCGAGAACCCGGGTAGCGGGAGCTCCGAGGGCGCCATTGTGTGCAGAGTGGGGAGGGGGCCGGGCGGGCAGCGGCCCGGGAGTGGGGCGGGGGGCTCGGTGGCCACCGAGGACCGCTTTAAAGGAGAAGGAGCCTGGAGCGGGTACCTTCTTTGCGTCTTCTTTGGGTCAGGTTTCCACTGAAAAGAGTTCTCTACATGATCGGAAATAGGATTTCTGCACCACCCTAACCTTAACTTGCCAGAGGTCTGCAGAGCTCCTTTTGGGTGTCCACATCAGAAAAAGCTGGTTCTAGTGCCACACACAGTTTTCTCTGATGGCTTTGTTTGGGCAGTTCTTTTTGGTTATTGTTGAGTTCCCAGTTAAGAGTTTCATCTGTTTTTCTGTTTAGTTGACCAATTGCTATGTATTTTTCAAAATTCATCAATAGTTAAGGGCTGGTCTGGAAAATGATTTACTACTTTTCTAATGAAAAAAGTCTTCATGTGTTCCTAGGTAAGAGAATTGCAAACACTTGGCTTAAAAGATCTGACATTCTTCAAGACTTGTTTAAATTCTAAATTTCCTTTTCAAAGTCTTAACCTGATTTTGAACAGAATCTATGTTCTCATCTAACGCAAGTCATGGCTTATGACTGGAGTGTGAACTTTGACCTGCATTTTTGTAAGTGGGAAAAGTTTTTTCATTTAACACAAACAGGCAAATCATGGATTTGGGGATATGAGATCTAGCCCTATATTTGAATTTATTAAAATTTTACCCAAATATTTTGCCAAGATACAATGTTTGAATCGGCAATTGTTTAAGGGTTAAATATTGGAATTGGAGTGAATTATTAGGAGAAACAACTTTTTAATGGAGCGAGCACAATTGTCCCTTACACAAGTGGTCATATATTTCTTAATAATGAAATAAAACTATTTGAAAATGAAGATATTTAATCTTATAATATTTTGAACATGTTCTAGCACTACACTTTCTGATGTCAGAAAATCTTTAGTATATATTTTGTGTGTGTACTAGTTTTAGGTATTTTTCTTACCTGCAACACATTTATGAAATCTGTATTTTACAATTAATAATGACCTACTTGTCCAGGAAAAAACTGTTGCTTGCCATTGAACCTGATTTCAAAATAAAATAATTATTTGAGATGAGAATAAGGGGCAGGATCTCACTTTGGAGGCACTAAAAATTCTTTGTTGTCATCTGGATATCACTCCATCTGGTAATAAAAGACAGATGTTGGGGAAAAATTTGAAAATGCATAAGCTCACCAAAGTAGACATAAATAAAACATTGCTCCATTTCTTCAGAGTGAAGTTTTAAGAAACTTAATATATATAAAAAAAAGAAACTTAATATGCTGATTGACAAGAACATGTCAATGTGGGTGCCTATGTTGTTTGGCACATTAGCCATATTAATAGCAATTGGTAGGCTCCAATAATAATTTTAAATTCTGGAGAGGTTTTCTTAGAACACTGTAGCAAGGCTTTCATCTCTGAAACAACAAAGAGAACTATGAATAAAATATTTAGCTTACAGAAGCCAGACTGAAACAAGGAAACTTGGTCTAAAATTATAGACATTTGGAAATTTCTTTATGGAAGCGATTTTTCCTGCATCCCAAATAGTTTGCTTTAAGCTGATTCTATGACAGTGAAAGCTAACATCTAAGTAGCAGATTTTAAATTTGTTTTCTTTGTGGTTCATTGATTTCTTTGCAGTTCAAAGGTAGATTTTTCAGGGTAAAATATTAGCTATTTCTGCTACTTTTAGGTTTCAGAAGATTCATGAGTTTTCTCCCCCCATTTGGTATAAAGATGTGTTTGCTTGAACTTTCAGATGCTTACATGCATTCCAAATAAAAATGCCACAAGGCACACATGCTAAACAACTTTTGATTGAATGTGGGAATGTAAGCATGAAGATATTTTTCCTTAAAAAGAAACATTTGGAAACTTAATTGAATATTCATGTGGAACTGAAAAGATCTTAACTTTACCCCTTTTGACCCATGAACACATCAACAACTAGTTAATGGAGTATGAGCCAGTTTTAAGTTCACATTTGCAAATTCAGAATTTAAAACTTACTCTTGGACTGGAGATAAAGACCAAATTAAGAAAATTTGTTGCGTTGACTCGGTTTCTCATATGTCTTTTATAAAGAAAAGCATCTCCTCTGATTCTTTCATTATGTTCATTTAGTCTATTTTAGATCTAATGAAAGTGTAGACAGGACTGAGAAGACTTAATTTAGTTTCAGATTGTTCTACTCATTAAAAAAAAGTCACGTTCCCCTTTATGGTGTTCTGCTATGGCTTTTGTTTTAAGGTGGAAGGTAAGACAATGAAAAGAAGGAACTATAAATTTACTCCAGTTCTTCAGATTAGAGAGATCTTTCACTATTGCCAACAATATATTTTCTGACTGTGGCTGCAGGGCTGAAAAAGATGAGAGTTAAAAACGTTCCCAGCACGCTTTGATTTTTTCCAGTAAAAGCCAGGAAGTTTTGCTGATCTACCCACATTATTCCCCCACCCCCTCATTCCTTCTGTGATGAGAAACACACAAAGGCCATAAAATCTAGTGAGCAACCATCTTTGGCCCTATTAGCTCTGTTCTCATAAATTAATGCTTTAAATATCCCTGGGTTATTCATCGAAAGGGTCAAACCCAGATACAGATCCTTTAGAGGAGGTCAAACTGTCACAAGACTAATAAAATACATATACAAATAATGGATAGAATGAAATTCTCTTTTAATTTGTCTTGCTTTAATCTTTATGTATGGCAGATGTAATCACTTAATGCACCCCGAAGAAATTCAAGTTCTTGAGGATCTTGGTTTCTTTGATACATAGAACTTCTCCATGTAAACCATGTAATATATTCCATAGGAGATGGGTGCTCGGTCAGTATTTATAGAATATAAATTAAAAGTCAGCTGCTACTCTTTGGGTCTTGTTATATGTGCTCTGTGTGTGCATGTGCGCGTCCAAGAATTTAAACCATTTCAATTGTTATGTTGAATGGTAAATAGGAATAGAATCAATTTATTAAGTACTCACCTAAGTGTATGATGCTGTAGGTGGTAGACCCATTAAGTAGCAGTTTCTTAGAAGATGACTATAGGAGAAAATATAACTATAAAAATAAGAATAATTTGAGACAGAATGAAATAAAAAAGTCATGATGTCAGCTAGAGATTAAAAGTACAAGAACTGAAGGAGTCTTGTGTTTGAATTATGTGAGATTCTGATGATTTTTCTTGACCCCATAAATCTTTACCAATCCTGTGCTTTGGATTAGAATATGGCTTATATTTCTCCAAAGGATGATCCAACAGCCACATGTGATTGCTTGCAAACTTGGCAGAGAATAAACAACATCAAGTAGAGAGTGGGGAAAAGAAAATGCTTGTTCCTAACTCATATGCTTGATCTCATGTTATCAGCCTTTGGAACCAACAGCTGGCTGGTAGCTGAATGAGTAGGAAGAGAAAGAAAATCTCAGTGACCCTCACCAAAACAAACCTACTGCCAGTGGAGCCCATGCCAAATCCATGGTGACCTTCCATGGGTTTCCCAGGCTGTAGATCTTAAAAAGACACTGCCACAACGTGTCTCTCACAAATTCGAACCACTGACCTTTCAGTTAGCAGTACAATGCTTAACCTCCTATACCACCAGGGCTTCTCAGTGACCTTTAGGTAAAAGTTATAGTTGTTTTCTGCTAGAAATTTGTCCTTTTAAAGGCCTTTTCCCTGCTGGCAAGATGGTTTGTTGGTGCTGCTTTTAAGGCACTTGATTGCTTACCAAAACCTGGGTGTTTAGCACTCACCAGCTGCTGCAAGGGAGAAAGGTATGACTATTTGCTTCCATAATGATTTAAAGCCTTTTAAACCATGGAGCAGTTCTACTCTGCCCTGGAAGGCTCTTCTAAGTTGGAATCTACTTGATGATGATAATTTAGGTTTGAGTTTTTTTGCCCCAAAGAAAACTGTGGTCATTAATTACTGTATCATTAAATTCTGACTCAGAATGAGGTGAATTGGGAAAATCCCATGCCCTGTGGCTACTTAGTAAATGCTTGTTGACTGGCTAATAAATCACTCATAAAGTTACAAAAGAGTTCTGTCTAGTATAAGGAAAGGGGATGTCTGGTGACTTTATGGGGAAGGAGTTGCACTGCTAACCTAAAGGTGTGTGATTAGAATCTACCAGGTGGTCCTCAGGAGGAAGAAGACGGGCAGTCTCCTTTTGTGCAATTTACTGCCTCTGAAAATCTCCTGGAGGGTTGGCTGTAAGTCAGTTCCAACTCAATGGCACATGACAACAACATCATCTAGAACATTGTTTAAGGAGAGTTCCTTAAACCTTGTGTTGTCCTGGGGGAGAGAGGATGATACTGCCAACTGAAAGAGAATGATTTGAATCCACCAACCGCTTCATGATAAAAAGATGGACATTCTCCTTTCACTCAGTTTACAGCCCCTGAAAACCTGCTGTGGGGTCAGCTATGAGTCAGTTCTGACTAGAGGCAATGAAAGTGAGAAATGAAGCGGTAGCGGCAGTTGTTGGCTCATTTGATACAAAGCAAAGC